GCCTGTAGTTACTTTCACTGCTGCGGTCACCACCCTTAAAAATGACTGATACACGAGCTTTCTTCATGGCTTCTGGAAAAACATAAGGTTTTTACTACGCGGATAGGCAACTCTGCGACCAGAGACACGACGCGAGACCTCGCTTTCATCAAGAATGTCGAAAATACTACATGGGCCAACACCGCCATGGATTTTGGCAGCGACCACTACGTTCTGCAAACTTCTATTATAGTGGACTGAAGCAAAGTTCGAGAGTTCGTGGTGGTTGACTGGGATCTTTTTCGTAGCGTTCGCGGTACAAGGACCAGTGCTCCTGATAGTTTCGAGGAATGGTGCGGGGGCATCCGCAGAGATACCACCGCTGCCACCATGAAGATAAAAACAGATTTGTATGTGCAGAAGATGGACAGTAGGCTTGCCCACCTGCTCGAAGCAAAGTTAGTTCTATTTTCTCGATGGAAGAAGCAGAGGCACAACCGTAGGCTGCGGCAAAGAATATCAAAGTTGAACAAAGAAATCGAACAGCATTGCGACACACTGTGCAAACAGCAGTGGGACGAGTTGGGCGAGTCCGCCGACGGTCAAATCAGAAATGGCACCTTCTGAAGCACGTCCTGGACGAGCACAGCACTAGAGTCAACCAGAGACACACTTTAGCGCGTGCCCTTCACGAAGCCACCAAAGAATAGGGGTTGACGAACTCGTTCCCCAATTAGTTTCCAAGTATCTGCCGGTCGAACGAGAGGACGAAGACGGCGTGTTCCCGAAGTATGGCGGTCCTCCTCTACCGGAACTAGACGAAGACATTTCAGAGGCTGAAATCAGGAGAGTGAATGCTCAATCGCAAGTCGGCACCAGGGCCAGACGGGATCGCGAACATAGCGCTCAGAAACCTCGACGACGCATTCATAGAACGTCTAACTGGTTTCATCAATGAAGCATGGAAAACGGGAAGGGTTCCTGAGGAATGGAAGCTAGCTGACACCGTACTGATTCCCAAGCCAGGAAAGTCTCCTAGCGTTGAGAATCTTCGCCCCATTTCCCTCACGTCGTGCGTGGGCAAGGTGGCAGAACACGCAATTCTCAACAGACTTAACGACTACCTGGAGGGAAATGATATTTATACGCACAATATGATTGGGTTTCGTACCGGCCTTTCAACGCAGGATGCAATGCTGCTCATTAGGCACCAAGTCCTTGATGGATAACCTAGAGATACAAAGGCTCTTCTTGGCCTAGACCTAGAAAAGGCCTTTGACAACATCAAGCACGAATTCATCTTGGAGACTGTAACAAAACTCGAGCTTGGGCCCAGGCTGTACAACTACATCAAGTCCTTCTGGTCTAGAAGAAAAGCGAGGCTGCGCATCGAGAACTTCTTCTCTGAAGACGTACCACTCGGACATCGAGGCACGCCCAAGGGGTCTATGAATTCTCCGGTGCTGTTCAATCTCTGCATGATCGGACTGTCGAAAAGACTGGATAGCGTGGACGGCATCAAGCATACCATCTACGCCGACGACATCACAATCTGGTGCGTTGGCGGCAGCGAAGGCCGGGTGCAAGATGCCCTTCAAGAAGAAGTCACCGAGGTGGAATCGTACTTGCGCCAAACGGGACTCAAATGCTCACCCACCGACTCGGAGCTCCTGCTCTATAGAAAAGAACGAGGTGGCCGACCTAAGGAATGGAAAACCGTCGAAGAAAGCGATATTCACAATTACACGAGTGACGGCGAGAAAATCCCGAGGGTAGACACCTTCCGGATCATCGGCATGTTTATTGAAGCGAAGGGTGGCAACGGCACTGCACTGCGGAAGATTGCCGCCAAGACTGACAACGCTTTTCGACTCGTCAAAAGAGTCTCCAGGAGACATAAAGGCCTTAAGGAAGAAAATTTGTTAAGGCTCATCAATGCGTTTCTGCTCTGCCACTTTGCCTACACCATTGCCATGCAAAACTGGCTTAGGTCGGAGTAGGACAAGCTCGACGTGATTATCAGAGAGACCGTCAATAAAGCACTGGGGCTGCCCATACGCACGCACACCGAGAACTTGCTCGCGCTCGGTGTGCACAACTCTGCCGCCGAGATAGCGGAAACGCAGCAACGCTCGCAGCTGGCTCGCTTTTTCACTACGACGGCTGGTCAGCGCATACTTGGCGAGCTAGGTTTTAACACAATGGAGCTGTAAACAAATAACATGTGTATATCAAAACATATACAGGAAAACGTCATTGTTGCCCCAATACCCCGCAACACTCACCATGTACACAATGAGGGACGTCGTCGGGCAAAGCCGACGGCTCTACTGAAGCAACTGGGAAAAGGTGGCGTAAATGCAAGTTTCGTTGATGCTGTAGCATATCTAGACGGCAAGAAGTTCGCAGCGGTGGTCGTGGACCAGACGGGCTCAACTACGAACTGCGCCACGGACGCACAACGAATCCCCAGGTGGCCGAACAAGTGGCCATCGCACTCGCTATGCTAAACGATCGGTGCGAAGAGGTGTACAGCGACTCCAAAGTCGCAGTCAGAGCCTTCTAAAAGGGCCGCATATCAACGCAGGCAGCCAGGATCTTGAACAGCTCCACCAGCGATATGATTGTCCCTCACACCATACATTGGTTCCCCGTGCATGTCGGCTCCGTAAACGGCGTTGCACTGAACCCGAATGAGTCGGCCCACACAGCAGTGCGCGTACTCACTGACCGCGCTGCTCTCGACCTGGGTGACGGCTGCAGTGCCGACGACGTGGGACATAAAGACACACCTACTACACACAACGAGATTACCAAGTATTACTACATGGCGAGGCAGGCATTCCCAATGCCACATTCAAAACTCAATAGAGCACAGGCCGTCTCGTTGCACTCACTTCAAACCCATTCGTACCCGTCGTTAGCATACCTAAATTAAATTTATCCTCACAAATTCCCCGATGCCGCCTGCGCCGCTTGCGGGCAGACCGCTACGTTAGCACACATGCTCTGGGAGTGCGGGTCGCTTGGACCGACTTATAGCAAACCCGAGTGGGATGCGCTTCTGAGCAGTCCAGAATTTCAGGGCCAAATCCTGGCCGTCCAGTGTGCCCGCGACAGGGCCGTCAGGCTAGACCTGCCAGTCCCCACGTGGGAGTACCGGGTGACGCGTGGCAACCTCAGCGTCTGCACTGGACCATAATAAAGTTGTTCTCTCTCTCTCTCGCCGTGATGTAGCATCCTGCCCTCTCCTCCGGGGATTTCTCCCTCGTGCGAATCCCACTTACGCAGGCATTCTTCGTCGCAACATATCATCACACACTTCGTGGATATGCTGTTTTTTAAAGACGATAGTCTCTCTTGAAGACCAGGACTGCAAAATTTCGGCCTGTCTGTCTGCCTGTACATTTGTCTGTTTGTCCGCCCTAACGATACCTGAAACGGCACCAAATGGCCAACCCTACTCGCAGCGCCCACTAATACTGCTCAAGATTTAGCGTTTATAGTTGTGCAAATGTCAATGAAAAAAAAGCAAATATTGCGCATATCTGAGGTGCCATAAGAACACGTCTATTTTCAAGTGTTTGCCTTTATACTAGAAGAAAGACACTTATAGGACAGTAGCGTTTATCGCGCGGCGCTGACAGTACAACGCGACGCTCAAGAAGGTGTTTCCAACGCTTTTCTATGACGACACGGTGGTGGCACCTGCCCGTCGTTTTGCATTCTACACCTTATCGCCTCCGAGACTGGCGCGCATTTTTCTCCGCGGTCGCGCACGCCTTCGTTTTCGAAGATAACTGCCAGATGGCACTCGTGTCTATCGTGCCTAGATGCGCTTGTTCGCCTCTGCTACACACTCGAGTCACTCTAACGCAGCGCCTTCAGAATACCACTCACCGATTTTCTTGCGCAGAACATCAAATAAACGTTTTGTTCACTCTCTCCGGACGCAAGACTTTTCTTTCGATAATAAATAGAGTGTAACATGTAGATTCGGGCCAATTTGTTTTTTTTTAAAACGATAGTTCTTCTTGAGGAGCTTCCACAAAAAAATTTTGGTCTGTCTGTCTGTCAGTACGTTTGTCTGTTTGTCCGCCCTAACGTTACCTCAAACGGCATCAAGCGGCCAACCACAACCAGAGCACCCACAAATATTGCTGAAGTTTTGGCGTTCATAGTTGAGCGAGTGTCAGTTAAAAAACAATTATTGCGCATATCTGAGGTGCCAAAACAACACGTCAATATTTTGTGTGTCTGCCTTTATACTAGAAGAAGCACACACAAGTAACTCTAAGGACTGTAGCGTTTATTGCGTTGCGCTGACAGTGCGACGCGATGCTCACAAAGGTGTTTCCAACGCTTTGCTACGACGACACGGTGGTGGCACCTGCCCGTCGCTTTTTTTCTGTATTTTTTTGGTGTTCATTCGTTCCGTAAGACTCAATGGCAATTCATTTTATATTTAGGTTTTCACGTTGCCGTGTAACGTTTCTTTTGTATAGCTACGTGGATGCAAGAAGTAAAAGTCATGAAAAAACATCAGTGCAGTTATTTCAATGCTTTTTGGTGGGCCCCACACAATGTAAACAATTTCTTGTCTAAACGCTCTCGGTAGGAAAGCTGTGTGTTAAACGACGTGCATTTGCCTCTCGACAGTGATGTTATTCCAGAAGCAGCTGTTCTAGAAGCACGTGACTATTTATGTTAGCTTGAGAGTAACGCTGTATGTTACATATTTGCATATTCTTATTATAAAAAACTGATGCTTCTATCAGCCTCCCAAAAAAGGAAGAGCATCTGTATGTCATACTAGTTCCCGTGTTCGAAAATATGGGCTGAGAAGCCGAGGAAATGGGATATGCGCAAAATTACAATAAAAGTACGTTGATCTACCTGGGAACCAAAGCTTTCTATCCAAGTTCAAAGTCAAGGACACACAGTATGCCTCACAAAAAATACAAAAACTGTCGTTTTTAGAATGCTAGCTTTTATGATCCACTGGTTTTCATCCGTTGCAGCTGGAAGTTTTCCGTCATCTACAAGCTGAAGAAACTCCTGACGGCACTCTGCACCTAGTGAACAATTTCCGGCCAAGCATGCCACTGAACGGACGGCGCGTCTACAAAAATTTTCCATAATCCACTGGCAAAATAAAATGCTTTCCTTTGACCATATATTGAAAATTTGGCGGATTCAATGCGCAAGTGGGAGTCCACATGAAACGAAGCTTTTATGGGTCTTTACAAAAAACTTTATTAAGTTATGAAGATACAGCACTAATTAAACATATCTTTAGGGAAATGCATTGCACTGCACACGTTTGACGTTATTGCACTCAAATTTACGCAGATAACTATGGCACCCTCATCGCAATAAACCCATAGCGATGTGTTTGAGACAAGGCACATGTCTCCGTTTTTTGTTTAGCATACCTGTCCACCACAAACGTCACAAGTTTACGTCCGACATTGTTGTTCACATATATTTTTCTTAACATGTATTTTCGTTTCACATATATTATCAGGCAGAAAAGGGTTCAATGCAGAATGGAAATTAAGTTTAACCACTTCCGTTTAATGCATGGGCGTCATATGGTGCAGGTTTACCATAGCATATATGCTATGGTAAACTTTACTGAGGTCTTACGGAGTGCCTATGAATACCCTGCTGGTCTTCATGAAGAGGAGACTAGAAGACATTGTGGCATAACTAGTTTGGAATGAAAGTCTGTGCCACAGTTCCAGCATCGGAGCTCTTTAATCCTGGCTAAGTGATTTAACCGTGGCTGTGCGGTAGAACACCTGCTTTTCGGGCTTGGTGTGTCTGCTGAATTCGAAATCAATCCTAAATAACAACCCCGTCCTATCTTTGTCCTTGTCTGTTTCCCTGGCAGAATATGTGTGCCGATTTAGAATGGGAAAGATGGAATTGTGTCGTGAATCGAATGTGACGTGTGTCGTGAATCAAATATCTGCTCCCGGTGCCTTGCTTTGGTGTAAATGTTGTAACACTACGAGTACTTCTTCAACTGTGATATCTGCATGTAACTAATTATTTGTTTCCCCTACGTGTGGGTGGGTAGTAAGGGTAATGCGGTGTGGTGCCTGTCATAATAAAATGTTTTTCAAACTCCATGGGAAGTCTCGAGGGGTCGTCCTGATACTCGTGCATTAAGATGTGTAACTGATCAAATGTTTTCTCTTCGTGGTAGGTCAGCGAGGGATCGAAGAATCGACCATCGACCATGTTTTAGGACTTGCTTAGGGCGTGGCCTGAGCGCACTGTCCGAATCGTATGTAGCCGCCTCTCGTTAGTTCTTGAACCGGCCGTTGAGTGTGGTAGTGGTTCAGTAACACAATGCATATACGTTAAAAAATGACAGTGGTACGTTACTAGGCGACGTTACTTGTACCACAATAATTATTAAATATCACAGCATGCCCATGGAGTGAAGGTTGATATGTGGTGCAAAGCGTCCATCATTTCCACCATTCCGCCCGTGCTTTTGGCCGTCCATTTGTTCTTGCTTCCGTCCATCCGTGCGTCCATCTCGGCGTCCATCCATTCGTGCATCTGTTCATGCTCCACTCCTCCATGCGTGCGTCCTCTCGTGCGTGCATCGGTTCGTCCATGTCTGCGTTCGTCCTTGTGTCTTTTTGTTCTGTGGGATAACATAACTTTAATGTTTCCGCACTGAAGGTTCTACAACGACTGCCCCTGAATCTGGGCACACACACAGTTTTCTTGCTCCCTTTGGGCGAGAGTGTTCTTATAGCCGGCGCCCGTGTTTAGAGGCATCGCCGCGACGCGCAGGCGCAGAAGCGGCGCTGACCCGTTTCGCCACACCACCGCCCCACGCAGATAGGAGCCGTCAGGGTTGAAGACGTTTGGCGACCCGCACCTGGCGTCCAAGGCGGGTGGTGCAGGGTGCGAGCCTAGGCGTTGCGGGCTGTTGTCGGCGAATTACGGGAGGTGTGCGAGGGTGGTAGGCTCCTGGGAAAGGATGTATGATGGCTTTAGACGGTCGACGGAAACGCGTACATCCTTTACACTGATTTGCAGGGTGATTCTTTTGTCGTCGCGACGGATGACTTTGTAAGGTCCAGATAAGGCGGCTGGAAAGGCGCGCATACGGTGTCGTCGTGGACGAAGGCAAGCGAGCATGTTGCCAGGTCCTTAAACACGAACGGGGTCGGCTTGGTGTGGCGAGCCGCTGGTGAGGGGCGCAGCGCGCCCATTGTGCGACGAAGTCAAGCGACGAAGTCTGCAGGGTCCGAGCCGGTTACATCAGAGGTCGGAGCGGAGAAGAGTTCTTCAGGTAGGCGAAGCGGCTCCCCGTAGACGAGTTCCGTGGGCGTAGCTTGAAAGTTGCGCGGAGAGCGAGAGCGACGGCGGGGAGAGCTTCAAGCCAGGTTGAGTGAGGGTGGCACATGATGGCTGCCTTGAACTGCCAGTGAAACCGTTCAATCATCCAGTTGGCGCAAGGGCGGTAGCTAGTTGTCCGTGAACGCTCGAACCCGGTGGAGAGCCCGAGGAGCCTGAAGAGTTGAGATTCGAATTGCCTCCCTTGATCGGTGGTGACTCGACGTGCAGTGCCGAAGCGTGAAACCCAGCCGGAGAAGAAGGCTGATGCGACGTCTTCTGTGGTGATTCTTTCGAGCGGCCACACCTCGGGCCAACGAGTGTAACGATCGATGGCGGTGAGGCAATAGCGGTAAGGGCCGGCTGCTGGGAGGGGGACAATGATGTCGACGTGGACGTGCTGGAACCGTTCCGTCGGGAGGGGGAAATCTCCGAGTGGCGACGTGACGTGCCGGGTGATTTTTGCGGGCTGGCATTGAATGCATGTGCGTGCCCAGGTGCGGCAGTACGGTGTCGGTTTTCTCAGCTTCGGCGACGGTGTCGGTTCTAACGGTTGGTAGCTCGACAGCCGAGACGTGAGAGAGTGCGTCGGCGACCACGTTTTTCTTTCCACTGATGTGGTGGATATCTGTGGTGAATTGAGCGATGAAGGACAGCTGGTTCTGCTGGACCGGTGGAAGTTTTTCGCGGCGTTGGGAGTATGCGTAAGTGATAGGTTTATGGTTGGTGCATATGGTGCACTCCTGTGCCTCGAGGATGTGGTGAAAGTGTTCAACTGCTTCGTAGATGGCAAGGATATTTCTGTAGTAGGCTGGCCAGGTCGTCTCCACAGGGGGCGAGGTTGCATCGCCGATGCTGCCGGAAGGCGGGGGCGGCTTCGGGGAAGAAAGTTTCTTCGAGAAGAACGCCAAAGGGCGCCAGTTGTTTCCCACACGCTGCATGAGAGAGGCTCCGATGGCGGTGCTAGAAGCGTCTGTGAAAAGACCCAAGGGCGGCTCTGGCTTGGGATGGGAGAGCAGCGTAGCGTTGCAGAGGGCAGTTTTGCAGTCTTCGAACGCTTGCGTTAAGGCTGGGGTCCGAGTGACAGGATGGTTGCCGCGTTGGCCGGCCAACGCATCATGAAGAGGGGCCTGATATGTTGCCGCTTTAGGCACGAAGCGCCTGTAAATGTTGAACGTGCCCTGGAAACGGTGGAGGTTCTTCGCTGTGGCAGGCAGCACGTAATTTGGCAGGGCCAGGATGCGGTCAGGTAAGGGTCTAGTTCCTTCTGCAGAGATTTCATGGCCAAGAAACGTGACGACGGGGGCGCCGAGCGTGCTATTCTGAACGTTTATGAGTAAGCCGTGTTCGTTGAGGCACTGGAACAGTTGACGAAGGTGTTGGCGGTGCTCCGTTTCGTTGTGGGAGAAGATCAAGATGTCGTCTAGGTAGACGAAACAGAAGTCCAGGCCGCGGACGACGTCGCCGATAAAGCGTTGAAAGGTTTGCTCCGCGTTGCAGAGACCAAAACTCATGAAAGGGAATTCGAATAGACCGAAAGGCGTCAGAATTGCGGTCTTTGGGACGTCATCCCGGTTTACAGAAATTTGCGTGTAGGCCTTTACGACGTCCACCACTGAGAAGATAGTGCTGCCGTCAAAGCGGTGTGCAAAGTCCTGTATATGATGGACGGCGTACCTGTCGGGGACGGTGCGGGCGTTGAGGGCGCGATAATCTCCGCAGGGGCACCAGCCGTTGGTCTTCTTTGGTACCAGATGAAGCGGTGAGGCGTAAGGTTCCTCCGAGTGGTGGGCAGTACCTTCGCAGAGCATGGGTTCGAATTCGGCCTGTGCGATTCGTAGGCGGTCCGGGGCTAGCCACCGGGCGCGGCATGGGACCGGGGGGCCGGGAGTAGTACGAATGTAGTGCATGGTTGAGTGGCGCACCTCTTGCGGCGCCCGCTAGGTCGAGTTCGGTCGGGAAATTCTGCGAGGATGTCATGGTATGGCGACTGGTTCCCAATGGTGAGTGCCCTGACGTTAGGCTGTTGGGTGTTTGCACTTAAGCCCGGCGTGAAGAAGCCTGTTGTAGCGTCGATAAGTCCGTCGTATCGGCAGTCAGGCAGAAGATTGTAGTACGCCAATAAGTCGGACACGATGATCGGCTCTGCGACGTCGGCGATGACGAAATTCCATGGAAAACTTCGACACAGGTTTTTGAAGTTGATGTTAAGGCGGAGCGAGCCGTAGGTCTTGATGGTCGAATGGTTCACAGCGCTGAGCTCAAAGGACGTGCAAGGACGCTTGTCACGCAGGAACGTTCGGGGAAAGCAACGTATGTCGGAGCCACAGTCGACGAGGAACCGCCGCTTGTGACTTGGTCGGCGAAAAATATGTGATGACCTCTAAGTTGGCAGCTCGCGGCAGTCTTTGCGGGCTGCCGTTGAAGTTTCCCTGATGTCCAGCTGAGCAAGGTGGTCGACATTTCCGGGCTGTGTCCCCGAAGCGGCGATGGTAGTGGCAGGGGCCGTTATCAATTCCGTGCGATGGAGCGGCGTTGTTGTCTTGGCTTTGGGAGCGTTTCTGTGGACGCAGCTTCGGGCTTTGATCCAAGCACTTTTGAATTGAGTCCTGCTGACGGGTGATTTCGTCGACACGGCGCGCGAGCTCGCTGCTGGGATGTCGGGTGTCAACGGCGTTGACAGTGAGAGGCGATGCTGGCAACGAAATCTCGACGAATTGATTAGCGATGTGAGAGAGCTGGTCCAGCGGGAGATTCGGCTGCACCTGGAAGATGGCCTGAGCATGTGAGGGTAGACGCTGAAGCCAGATTATACGGAGGA